CCATAATTTTTTTGTTTACAGTGTATATGCACAAAACCTAAAAATCTTTCTTGTGCCTGATCCAAGATTTAATAGATAAATCAGCGAAATTCAGCAGGGAAAAATGGAACCAAGGGCCGATACGGTATGGGAAATAAGTCATAATCGAGGACAGAGAACGACCGTAAACTTCAAAAAATTCCTCACCCATCTCACACACGTGCCCGTTTGAGACCGCCGTGGATAAATTCTTCACGTCTGTTAATCTATATCCCTCGCTTTCCTTGGTATCAGAACTGTCTGCAAGAGGCTCATTGGCATATTTCATTTTCTCTCTGGAGGAACCAACAGTTTCTTTAGAGTTCGAGTCGCAAAATTTTTCCAATTATTGGAAAGCTGATATTCATCCAGGGAAGTGCTCGGAGTTGAGTGGGCGATTTCGTTCTTCAAAGTAATCTTCCTGTTTTCGTCTTCCAGAAAAATGTCTTTCTTTTCTTCCAGTAGACAGCTCTGCTTCTCTCTCCAGCCATTTTCGAGAACTTTTCCTTTGATTTACTGCTCTATGTACGTTAAACATCACATTCGACTGAAACCCGGACTACAACTGCCTCTAATTCTATCCCATAATCGTTTTGCCCCAGAAAAACTGTTCAAATAAGACTAAATAAAGTGGGTCTTGTTAGCTCCTGCCCGCTTGGCTTGGTTGCCAGGACACCAAGTCACAAAAAACTGATAAATTTTGAAAAATACTATTCTCGTTACCATGGTAACAAAGCCATAGCCAGAGCGGGAATTTTAAAATCGCTTAAAAAGGTAAAAATAATGAAAATAGATGGAGAATTATTTTTCCATTGTAAAATTAAATACCCAAAGCTACAAATTTTAAGGAAAACAAAAACTGAGTTTTGGAGCAAATTTCAGGTTTACCCCCGCCTTAACCTACCGTTATGGATGAGTGCTGTGATATTTGCAGTGTTTCGTTCCCTCGGACGTTGAAAATCGTGTTAGCGACCTCGTAGAATACCCTTTTCAGAGACAGATAATTGTACACCAGCGTATTCGTTCGACTCTTACTGATTTTATTTTTATGTTCTTAAAAATCTGACCACCGGTAGGCCATAGGGTAGGCCACAGGGTAGGCCATAGGGTAGGCCACAGGGTAGGCCATAGGGTAGGCCACGGACTAGTGACTTGCACAAAGAGGCAATTTGGTTTTGTTTTGCTGATTTGCTGCAAACTGATCTGGATAAGGTAAAGGAATACTGGAACAGTCACCGGATCAGGAAGTCAAAGCATGCCATTGTATCCGGTGTTCCTCATGATGATGTACTTCCTGCCAGAGGATTTTGGACACACTGACTGCTTGGTTTCAATATCGCCACACAAGTTCACAGAAATGGAAAATAGGTTTGAAGGGTTCGATGTTGAGGATGATGAGTGCAACCCAGTTTTCCACGAGTATTTTCAATATGTCATGGACAATAAAGGCTTATCCCACCCCACAAGCATTCATGAAGCTGGAGTCCTTTTTGAGAAGCTTACCAAGTTTGCAAAAGGTGAACTCTAAATTTCTTTCCTTTTGGGAGCTAGTAAATCACTTCCACAAGGAGTCCTGTGTATAATGGCAGGAGGCATTAACCGTACTTCGTGCATTTCTATCACATGTAGCCCAACTTTAATATAATTTTCTCGCACATAGAAACAGTAAAAGGTGAGGCCAGCCTCTTGGGTGGCATATGGCTTTCATTCCTCTGTCCAATTGTTATGGAAGCAAATTGGCGTGCATTTACTTGTGCCAATGTGTTACTTGTTTGAGATATACTGCGAATGTTGAACCAAACCATCTCCAATGACAAATGTTTGTCTTCTAAAGAAACAGGCAGCTAAAATCACTTAATCTTAATAATATATTTTTTCACCCAATAGCACTAGTTAACAGCAGTATATTTGACTGAAAATAGCTTTTACTGACATTTTTTAATGGTTTTTTGTCTCTCCAAGATGTTTTCACTGGTTACAAGTTACAGAGTTTCAACAATGTTTCTTGGCAGCACAATACCATTAATTAATAAAGTCCCAGTTTCCTCGGTGGTAGGACTTGGCAGCCATGTTTTATTCTTTTAAAGTTGTACAAGCACTGATTAACTGAGGTCGCCAGTACAGACTGAAAGCAGTCATCTATTAAGCTCTTCCAAAGGTCTTTTCATGTCTTATTGCAGTGTCCATGTTAAATTTAAAATCACTGAAAGTGGTCATATGAGCAACAGGTAACTGTACCCAAAGGGCACAAGTAGAAACCGTGGGGAAGCAAATTTAGTGGTCATTGCTGCAGTGCATAAACTTTACTGTTATGGTAAAACTGTTCTTCTCAGCAGGTAAAAATGGCATTGTAGTTTTTCCAGTAAGAAACTGAAATATTTCTGTAACACCCCCAGCGCTGTTGGTAGACTCACTCACTGCGCAATAAGGTAAAACATACAAAAGCCATTAGTACCATTTCATACTAGATCTATCTGTATTGGTTTAAATAGGCTCATACATGTTACTCACAGTTGTCTTCTCTTTCTTCAACATATCTATTGAAGTAAGCCATTACAGCTGTTTCCTGTAGTTTCCTTGTTGATCCAGGCTCTGAGTATTCAGCTGTCAATGAGTTCATCAAAAATGTAGACGTCACCTGCATACAAACAAGACCATTTAGTCAGTCCATTAACTTTGAGGATTTAGTTGAGAAATCAGTTAGCATGCACTGTAATATAGTAATTAATTTAAACAGAAATTAAACATTGTGACTCTTTTTCACCAAATATTCGGACATCAATTAACTGAAATACTTGTCTCAAGGCAAACCTTTCTCATCTTTGAGAGAAACATACAAAGCAGAAATGATGAAAGGAAGGGATTGAACCAGGAATGTCGGAAAAGTTTACAAGGGTACTAAACGATAGGGCACATATCATCCTGAAAACTCTTACAGTATAATCTTCTCCTGGCACAAAGAGTTTCTCCATGAGTGATGGGTATTCTTCCATTATGGCCAGGCACCCATGCAGCCTAAGTCCTTCCCTCATTTGGTCTAGTTCACCTTTCACCCTCATAATTGTGTTTTGAAGTGTTATAACCCTGAAAACAGTAAAAAAATGTCATCCCTAGATGTGGTAAGTCTTGCAGTTAGATAATCAGTAAGTACAGCTAGATCATCAGCACTTAGTTTCATATACATGTCAGATCATTGAATTAAAGCATACATTTTATCACTATATCCAATGCTCTTCAAGATTCCCCTTACTGGTTGCATCTTGGTATTAATCCCATAATGTAACACAGACAAAATGTTCTATATAATTATAGATTATTCCACGCTAAAACTGGAGGAAAGTTTAGGACAATCATAACATTTAGCCACAGCAAATCATAGCAGGCAAAGGACACAAAATGCAACAGCTCTAAACAAGACAACAATAAAACACATCTTGGGATACTATACTGGTCTGTACCTTACAATAGTGTCTTTTTTCTCTAAGGAAATTGTGGATGTAAAGCCAGTATTCATTAACACATCCATGTTTGTGTCTTCTTGGAAAATGGCTTGCAGTTCTTCTTAACTGTTCACTTCTTTTACCTGGTGACATAATTATCATTCTCAGAATTGGTTTAATACATGTATTTAAGGAGGTTCAAAACAGTTTTCAGTACTTTCTAGCTCATACTCTGAAGGGTCAGTGCTATAAGCATTAATGTTATCAGTCTTGCTTTGAGATTCTTTTGCTAAATCATAAGGCTATATAAAGGCATATAACAATAATTATTGCTATCCTCATTGAAATGATCAATTCAAACCAATTCTACCGGTAGAAATGTGGAACTTTCTTGTTCAGTTATTACAAGACATATTATTACCCTTTTCACTAAAGTCCTGATGTCTGGATTAACAATGTCATCATCTATTAGTGATATGGCTGTGACATCAGGAGTACACAGATAGTGGTATACCCAGTTGGCTAAAAAGGCAGGTGGTGGACCCTCCTGGAGAACTGACATAACCCTAACTTGGCCAACAACTTTGAAGGAGCCATACTCCACAGCCTCAACATGAGGTGCAGGAGACAGACCACTAAGTTGAATGCCCTCAAATAGGTTGGTCTGAATTCCACTATAAATGCTGCAGAAAACAATGTTAAAAAAGATTCGAGGGGAATAGATTTCAAATCATGGGAGTTGTACGCTTATAAAGTGAAGAGATGTAATTTTTTCAGTCCTATTTGTATCTTTACAATAACTGAGTTGTGGCCATTCATAATGAGTTTTCCCATATGTCACACTGACCAGAAAACAACCTTCACTGGCCTGTCACTGTCAATGGCAATAATAATAAACTGCAACTATGATTACAATAATGCTGTTCATGCAAAAGTACTTTCAGCCAATCACTTCCAATGCAATCTGGAGCAGTACATCATTATTAGTAGATCATCAGTGTTGAAAAGAGTAGGAAAGACTTTCAGGTACTGCTGTAGCCCATTTCATAGAAGTGTCTGTTTATCAAAAGATGGTAGGGGGTGGCACCCTCCCTAAAGTTCTTGGACATCCACATTTCAGATCCTGGTTTAGAGCCTGATATCTTACCAGATAAAAACTCCTTTTAGAGCCCTCCAGTGTCTATCCCTGACTCTCCAAAGCACTGCACTGTCAACAGGCCCAACAAACTTTTTTTCCGCCATAGCTGCCTTAAATGCCATCCACCAATAGATCCTGCCTGCTTACTCTAACTTCACATCACTCATGCTGCTTTACTCTCTTGTACAGCATGCTTAAGATATCATCAAGGCTGAGGGAAAAAAATTGCACAAAATGTTGTTCTGATGTAATTTGCTTAATTTGCACAGATAACTAACACTTACAAGGTAATTGAGCTGATTAAAAATAATGTATAACTTCATAAGGTTGGTTGGCACTTAAGTTTGAGAATGGAAAAAAAGAAATGATACAAATAAAGCAGAAGAAGTAAGAGTGTCTTAATTCATAAAAAAAAAAAAGACTTAGAGAAATCCTGGGAGGGGTAAAGACATTTTCTGGAACCATGCAAATGATCATCCAAGCTTCAATATGTTTGTTCTCACAGGTGAGGTGGTATCTCAACTCCCCTCCCTTTCTCCTGGTTTGGATTACATACCTACAAATGCCATCAATTCATTCTATTTTTGAGTCAGCTGTTAAAAGTTTTTCAGAAGCTTCATTCCTTGAGCTGGTATTTTCAAGGGCTTGGGCAATTTCTTCCTCAGAGTTACTTGGGAAGGTTTCTTTTAAAGCTTCTATATCACTTGCTCCTGTAGCAAAATCATTTAAATAGCATTGTCACATCAACTCAAGGCTGCATGTTTGATCACTTCAGTACAGAATTGACCATTATTTTCAAGGGTTTGGGGGAGAGAGAGGAAAGGAAATCCTAAAAGAATTACCGTAATTTCCGGCAAATTACTAGCACCGGCCAATTGTTGCATATGGCGAAAAAATAAAGTCAACAGATTACCCGTGGAAAACCTGCAACTTATGTTCTGCGCCATGTTGACTTGTTGAACGAAATTTTAAAGGCCAAAGAAATTCAGACACGTGTACAATTCTGTGTCTATATTAGCATGTATTTTATACGGTAAAAAAAACATTGTGTGCGTGCAATCATTCAGCGCCATGAATTTCACGGTTGAGTTTCATCGATACGTGTGGAGTTTCAAAACTACTGTCAGCGATTTCTTAAAAAAAATCGATATCTCCGGTTCTACTGGGCCTAAAAAGTCCCTTAAAACGGGTAAATTCTCTTCATCTCAATCTAATGTTAACTAGAAATTTGTCACAGATGCGCCGGATGTTCTTGGATTATTTTTGTCACAGTGAAGGTTTTATTTACACGCTTGCCGATAACAATTTGTTCACATGCAACTAATTAAGCGTGAAAGAAAGTCGAGCTGGCATCATGTTTTCGTGCTGCTTTGGGGCTCACTTAATACGCAGGGAGGAAATAATTTTTTTTCAATTCAACAACCAGAAGATTTTAAAATTGTCACAACCCGCACCTCCCTGCGGATGTAGTTGATTGTGGCCCCAGGCTATCCACTAATCCCATCTAATGTGACACATTAGATGGGATTAGTGGATAGCCCGGGGCAGGGGTCCCAGGGTCCGTGGAAGGATTATTAGCAAGTTTCAGTGGGTGAATTCACAAAAAAGAAGAAATTGGGAACCGCTCTTTTTGTTGCAAAGAGAAAGACCAGCAGATGATATTCTTTTGTTAAAAAGGAGACCCTTACGTTTTCAACACCCTAGGACCCCACAGTTTTCATAGAATCCAGTTTCGTGGAATTTGCTCTCCGCACACGCTGGTTCAACAAACAAGGACTGTATACTCCCTTTTAAGTTGGCTTTTATTCTTCAGCTCACAACATTCATGTTCTGCCCTACGATCTAACTGACTTAGGATCACAAGTGCCACTTTTATTGGCTACAGATATCCACACCCAGATACGTAGGTCCGGTGTGGTCACAGGTGGCCCAAGCTCTGTCACAGGCTCTTTCACAGTGAATAATTAAAGAGTTTGTATAGTGGTTTAATTGGACTTGCTTTTGAGCTCAGTAAATGTAAAGTTGTGTGAATTAATCAAAGAAATAAAGTCTTACCTTCATAGAGAGTAGTCTGTGTTGTTCTCCTTGCGATTTGAGACCGTTTTGATGTGTTTTAGCTTGACGCCCAAAATTACCGTGCATAAAATACGGGAAGGTCAGAAACTTCTGTTGACACATACTTGCCAAAATCGCTCGAAAACAACACTTAATACTTTCCCTCAAATCAAAACTCGGCAGCACGAAAGCCAAATAGTCTCCCTTTAAGTTCACCGAAAAAAATCCCACAAAAGTCGGTTTGTCAAGCAACCAATCCAG